GAGGCTTGTGTCAGTGATGTGATAGATGGAGACCCATTGTTAAAGCTTTACCACCCACCAGAGGGAGAGAATTTCCCTTTCTTTGACAGAATTCAGTCCTCTCTGGATACAATTAAACTGTCTCTACTAGAGGTGATATCCCTGAGGTTCATTAAAAATCCTTCTGAAGACTTTTTTTGCATTCAGAATGGACCAGAATGCACCAAATAACAGATATGTTCAAACTGTTTTCCAGAGAGAGAATGTACAAAGCCCTTGTGCAAGGTCTTTACCTCCACCCGACCCTCATGATTAATCAAGGTGAACATTATCTGTGCTAGCAATACACTTGGTCTGTTTTTCAAGACCAAATTATGATTACTTCCTGCAAGTGTGATTTAATATCAGGTGATTTGCCACGCATTGTTGGTTTGTGCTTAACTGTTTGGAGCAGTCAGACTTTTCACTCAGAAAAAAAGTGACATGCAATCAAGGCGAATTCCTGTAGTTTTTGTGTTTTATGACTAATTGGGCACTGTGGCACACAATAAATAGGAACAACGTTGTGTGAAAACTGGCACCTGTAGCTTCCTTGTATATTGTAACTAAGCTTGGTGGTGTTCAATCAACACAATGCCGCCTCCTGTTCTTCCTCTTCAAGATATTTGAAAGAAAAGTGACAAAGAACGACTCCTGGCAAAGAGAAAATTCTTTTAACTGGCACACCAAGCCATGAGTTAATGCAGCTGTTCAGCTAGTCAATAAAAATGCACCTTTACTAGGAAAATCTTTGCTTCACGTGCAACACAAATAGAGCTAGGCTTACCAGCATGTCATGAGAAAGTTGTGTTACAAAAAACTAACATTTCCCCAAGTACACATTAAAAAAACTTTGTGTGTGTGTGTGTGTATGCGCTGCATCAAGTTAAAAAAATATCTGCCCTTCCATGCACGTCATGCACCTGCCGGTGACACAAACACATTCTCTCTCTCTCTCTCTCTCTTTAAGATGTTTTTGTGCGTACAGAGGTGGCTTCACAGTTCCCTTTGGTGTTCTTGCTCGGATATTGTGTATAGCAAAAAGGTAGATGCTATTATTTTATTCCACAGGATTTGTTTGGATTTCAGCTACTATTGGCATGTTCAGCGAACAGTCAGACTTTCCCACGCGTAGGACTGATCTTCATTCAACAGTCTCTCACTAGTGCAAATTAATATAGCAGGTCTTGTATTTCTCTGTGAGACACATGTACAGTCTGCACAAAGACAAAGAAACAAGGAAAGGAACGGGGCTTCCTGGTAATTGTATTTTTCATAGTTCTCTTCATTGATCCAGTAACAATATAATCATAGAAATTAGAGACAGAAAAGCTTTATTAGGTCATTGTGTTAATCCCTCTGCCAATGCAAGATTGTTATCTATTGTGCTGCTGTGTCAGGTAAATCCTGACTTTAGTGAGTGAGCTCCACCGAGCAAAACCAGGTGGGAAAATTGAGCTGTGGCACTGACATAAGCTGCTCTGCATGACTCATAGTGAGGCCTCCATCTTCTCACCCAGGAGGGAACAATCCCCATGGCTGGGTGCCTTTTTCATCCGAACAGAAAGGAAGCAATTATGGGCTTTGCCGGCTCCATTGAGAGAGAAATATCTGAGAGTTTTAGAGCCTCTCGAGGATTCAGACAATACGGCCTCTCAGAGCTTCTCATGGGGGCTGCCATTCTGTGGAAGGTACATTTAAGAACTGTCAAATATTCAGGGAAAGGAATGGGCCTTGAGCGGAAGAAAAAGGATCAGGCCAGAATGCAAAGAATAGGCTGAGTGTATCATATGTAAAACCACACAGAGTAAGAAAAGTCACTTGGGTAAAATCTCTGCTGAAGTAAAAACCTATTCTAGGGCTCATAACAGTATAACAAAGGAGACTGAATGGTTAAATACTTAATAAGGAGGAACGCCTTATACAGTCTGTCTTCACATACTATAGCTTGCTATATGATAACTTATTTTTACTAGGGAAGTATTAACTTTACCAGTTCCTTCTCTCATTGAACTCTGGAGAGAGACCTGGAGGGGGGTCCTGTATCAATATTTTGGCTTTGAACTAATGTGCCCTCCTTTTTACAATTTTATTGTTAATAGGTCTCAGGCTGCCTGAGGTAACTGCATGAGAATGCAATCATTCTTGGACTACTGAAGCTCTTGAAATACAGCTGAAACCATTCCTTTTTTATTTTATAAAACCTATGCAAACAAATGAAATAAAGCCCAGTGCACGGTGGAAGGTTTAGACCAGGGCTCGGCAGCCTTTGGCACATGACCCATTAGGGAAATCCGCTAGAGGGCTGGGACAGTTTGTTTACCTGAAGCATCCGCAGGTTCAGCTGAGAGCAGCTCCCACTGGCTGCAATTCACTGTTCTAGGCCAATGGGAGCTACGGGAAGCAGCAGCCAGCACATCCCTCAGCCCGCGCCACTTCCCGCAGCCCCCATCGGCCTGGAATGGTGAACCACGGCCAGTGGGAGCTGCGATCAGCTGAACCTGTGGACACTGCAGGTAAACAAACCGTACTAGCCCGCCAGCGGATTTCCTTGACAGGCCACATGCCAAAGGTTGCCAATTCCTGATTTAGACCATTCATAAAGTTCTTCTCTAATACCATTTTCATTTGATTTTTTTTTTTAATGATCTTCACTGTAACCGAGTACACAACAGTTCCTGGGATATCTTAAGCAGAAAAGTTTTCCACCTTTTAGAAAACAATGTTGAGTCATTTGTTAGTCTATAGACAATAATGGCAAGTGATTGCCCAGCTTTTCATGTATCCTAGATTTACAGTCGTTGATATGCCCGAGGATGGGATGCCTAATCCCGCTATTGAGTAATTGACATTGGACGGGGAAACTGGTACCAGTGATGGACCATAAATTATATACTGAAGGGGTATGATGCAACAAGGCCTGGTTGCATGGCTAGCACCAGGAGAGAAACAGGCACCTGACATTGCAGGTAGTGATGCCTTTGGTATGAGCAGCTGAAGGTGAGAGCTGCCAATGACGGATTTGGGAAGGGAGCAGCATAGTGACAGAGGAAAGAGAGAGACACTGGAAGGCAGAGAATGGATAACAATAGTACTATTAAGTTTGGCACTGGAGAATTGCATCAATTTCATTTGTGACCCAAATGTTTCCACCACTGCTCTAGAACCTCAACTGAAGGCAGGTAGCCCTTAAGCTCCTTGAGCCTTGTACCCAGGGATGGAATGTTCTGTTTCACCCATTTCCCAAGAACTTGTTTCTTTGCCATCAAAAATAGTTTCTAAACATGCTACTCTGCTGAAGAAATTTCAACTTTCCAAAACATCAATGTCATTGTAATACTTATAGTTTTGTTGGTTGATTGATGAGGTGCCTTTTGCAAGCCTCAAAGTGCATCAGAAGTGCTGAGCACCCAAAAATCCCCTTGAAGTCAATGGGATCTGCAAATGTTCGGCATCTTTGAAAATCTGTGTAGGCTTCTACTACATGGAGAGTTCATCCCACGCTACTGAAGTGCAGCTGCCTTTGGGATGAAATGTGACAGCTGTTAAACACAAGTAACAATACACATCAGTTTTAGGCCAAGAAGAGAAGAATAGTGCTATAGCCAATCAAAACTGCAGCAGAGATTCAGGTAGACCAGTGGGTCTCAACCTATTTACTATTGTGGGCCACATATGCAGCTCTTTGTGCGTTATGTGGGCCTCATCCACACAATATATACACTACCTGTAGGGCCCTGAGGATGTCACATGGGCCGCAACTATGTGCTGATTGGGCCGCAAGTGGCCCGCGGGCCATGCGTTGAGAACCACTGAGGTAGACCAAATGGGTCTCATTCACATCTCACACCAGTTTAAATCCAGTTTCACTCCAATATTTGACTACTGTAAGAGAAAGGAGAACTCCTGTGTAATTACCTTTTTGATTTTCCTATAACAATGGTGGTGCATATTAGCTCCTCCAATGGAAAAGGTGCATTCATCAATTTCCAAGTGAACCAGAAACACTTTTTCTAAAGGTCTCAGAGTAGCAGCCGTGTTAGTCTATATTTGCAAAAAGAAAAGGAGGACTTGTGGCACCTTAGAGACTAATCAATTTATTAGAGCATAAGCTTTCGTGAGCTACAGCTCACTTCATCGGATCACGAAAGCTTATGCTCAGATAAATTTGTTAGTCTCTAAGGTGCCATAAGTACTCCTTTTCTTTTTTTAAAGTACCTGCATTTCAGGCCACAATCATATGCAAGGGAACAAGGTCACTGTCCTTATTCTCCACTTAGTAAATAGTATGAAGATAAAAAATGGTTTGTGTCATTAAGGGCTTGTACCGCTCCAAAAAACTCAATTAGCTACAATTTAATATGGTTCCTCTAATCTTACGTGTCAGCTGACAAGGCAACTTCCTTTAGTTTCCATCTTTCTTTGGAAAAGCCTCATGACAGCAGCAGTGATGTCTGCAGAAATGTACGTAGAGCTAGGAACTCAGCCATATGTTAGCAAACCCCTGTGCACTGCATACAGATGAAAAATGCAATGTAAGTGAATAGTGATGTTCCTGATTTTTATTATTATTCTCAATTCATTTCTCGCAGCAAGAGCTCAGGCAGCCACCAGATCCTGTATATTTGGCTGTAACTGCCAAAATAAAAATAACAAACAATTTTCAGTGACAAAGGGGTGAACTTTTAAAATAAAATGGCTGTCAAAATGTAGATGACATTTGTCATTAGATTCTAAGAATTACAAAGTAGATTTTGATCATAAACACGTGCACGTATCAGTTTGAAGCTGAGCAGTAAAGGTTTGAAACTGAAAATGTGAGTGTTATGTGCTAAATACCCAATCAATAGGGCATGTAAGTTAAAATTAATGTTCAGTGGCCTCATGCCATGAATGGCAAACATGATCTGAAGATCCAGCATCCACCTGAGGGCACAAAACAGGTGCCACAAAGCTCATGTGCTAAGTATTAGCCCTGGTCTACACTAGGACTTTAGGTCGAATTTAGCAGCGTTAAATCGATTTAAACCTGCACCCGTCCACACAATGAAGCCCTTTATTTCGACTTAAAGGGCTCTTAAAATCGATTTCCTTACTCCACCCCTGACAAGTGGATTAGCGCTTAAATCGACATTGCCGGCTCGAATTTGGGGTACTGTGGACACAATTCGATGGTATTGGCCTCCGGGAGCTATCCCAGAGTGCTCCATTCTGACCGCTCTGGACAGCGCTCTCAACTCAGATGCACTGGCCAGGTAGACAGGAAAAGAACCGCGAACTTTTGAATCTCATTTCCTGTTTGGCCAGCGTGGCAAGCTGCAGGTGACCATGCAGAGCTCATCAGCACAGGTGACCATGATGGAGTCCCAGAATCGCAAAAGAGCTCCAGCATGGACTGAACGGGAGGTACGGGATCTGATCGCTGTTTGGGGAGAGGAATCCGTGCTATCAGAACTCCGTTCCAGTTTTCGAAATGCCAAAACCTTTCTGAAAATCTCCCAGGGCATGAAGGACAGAGGCCATAACAGGGACCCGAAGCAGTGCCGCGTGAAACTGAAGGAGCTGAGGCAAGCCTACCAGAAAACCAGAGAGGCGATCAGCCGCTCTGGGTCAGAGCCCCAAACATGCCGCTTCTATGATGAGCTGCATGCCATTTTAGGGGGTTCAGCCACCACTACCCCAGCCGTGTTGTTTGACTCCTTCAATGGAGATGGAGGCAATACAGAAGTAGGTTTTGGGGACGAAGAAGATGATGATGAGGAGGTTGTAGATAGCTCACAGCAAGCAAGCGGAGAAACCGGTTTTCCCGACAGCCAGGAACTGTTTCTCACCCTAGACCTGGAGCCAGTACCCCCCGAACCCACCCAAGGCTGCCTCCTGGACTCAGCAGGCGGAGAAGGGACCTCTGGTGAGTGTACCTTTTAAAATGCTATACATGGTTTAAAAGCAAGCATGTGAAAGGATTACTTTGCCCTGGCATTTGCGGTTCTGCCTTTGCAAAAGGTTTCTGGGGAGGGCAGCCTTATTTCGTCCTTCATGGTAGGACACTTTACCACTCCAGGCCAGCAACACGTACTGGGGAATCACTGTAGAACAAAGCATTGCAGTGTATGTTTGCTGGCATTCAACCAAAATCCGTTCACGCGGTGGGAGGAGGCAAAATGCGACCTTGTAACGAAAGCACATGTGCTATGTATGTAATGTTAACAGCAAGGTTTACCCTGAAAGAGTGTAGCGACTGTTTTATAAAATGTGTCTTTTTAAATACCGCTGTCCCTTTTTTTTTCTCCACCAGCTGCATGTGTTTCAATGATCACAGGATCTTCTCCTTCCCAGAGGCTAGTGAAGCTTAGAAAGAAAAAAAAACGCACTCGTGATGAAATGTTCTCCGAGCTCATGCTGTCCTCCCACACTGACAGAGCACAGACGAATGCGTGGAGGCAAATAATGTCAGAGTGCAGGAAAGCACAAAATGACCGGGAGGAGAGGTGGCGGGCTGAAGAGAGTAAGTGGCGGGCTGAAGAGAGTAAGTGGCGGGCTGAAGACAGGGCTGAAGCTCAAAGGTGGCGGCAGCGTGATGAGAGGAGGCAGGATTCAATGCTGAGGCTGCTGCAGGACCAAACCAGTATGCTCCAGTGTATGGTTGAGCTGCAGCAAAGGCAGCTGGAGCACAGACTGCCACTGCAGCCCCTCTGTAACCAACCGCCCTCCTCCCCAAGTTCCATAGCCTCCACACCCAGACGCCCAAGAACGCGGTGGGGGGGCCTCCGGCCAACCAGCCACTCCACCACAGAGGATTGCCCAAAAAAAAGAAGGCTGTCATTCAATAAATTTTAAAGTTGTAAACTTTTAAAGTGCTGTGCTTAAAGTGCTGTGTGGCATTTTCCTTCCCTCCTCCACCACCCCTCCTGGGATACCTTGGTAGTCATCCCCCTATTTGTGTGATGAATGAATAACGAATGCATGACTGTGAAGCAGCAATGACTTTATTGGCTCTGCAAGCAATGATTAAAGGGAGGAGGGGAGGGTGGTTAGCTTACAGGGAAGTAGAGTGAACCAAGGGGTGGGGGGGTTCATCAAGGAGAAACAAACAGAACTTTCACACCGTAGCCTGGCCAGTGATAAAACTGTTTTTCAAAGCTTCTCTGATGCGTACCGCGCCCTCCTGTGCTCTTCTAACCGCCCTGGTGTCTGGCTGCGCGTAACCAGCAGCCAGGCGATTTGCCTCAACCTCCCACCCCGCCATAAACGTCTCCCCCTTACTCTCACAGATATTGTGGAGCACACAGCAAGCAGTAATAACAGTGGGAATATTGGTTTCGCTGAGGTCTAAGCGAGTCAGTAAACTGCGCCAGCGCGCCTTTAAACGTCCAAATGTACATTCTACCACCATTCTGCACTTGCTCAGCCTGTAGTTGAACAGCTCCTGACCACTGTCCAGGCTGCCTGTGTATGGCTTCATGAGCCATGGCATTAAGGGGTAGGCTGGGTCCCCAAGGATACATATAGGCATTTCAACATCCCCAACGGTTATTTTCTGGTCTGGGAATAAAGTCCCTTCCTGCAGCTTTTGAAACAGACCAGAGTTCCTGAAGATGCGAGCATCATGTACCTTTCCCGGCCATCCCACGTTGATGTTGGTGAAACGTCCCTTGTGATCCACCAGAGCTTGCAGCACTATCGAAAAGTACCCCTTGCGGTTTATGTACTCGGCGGCTTGGTGCTCCGGTGCCAAGATAGGGATATGGGTTCCATCTATAGCCCCACCACAGTTAGGGAATCCCATTGCAGCAAAGCCATCCACTATGACCTGCACATTTCCCAGGGTCACTACCCTTGATATCAGCAGATCTTTGATTGCGTGGGCTACTTGCATCACAGCAGCCCCCACAGTAGATTTGCCCACTCCAAATTGATTCCCAACTGACCGGTAGCTGTCTGGCGTTGCAAGCTTCCACAGGGCTATCGCCACTCGCTTCTCAACTGTGAGGGCTGCTCTCATCTTGGTACTCATGCGCTTCAGGGCAGGGGAAAGCAAGTCACAAAGTTCCATGAAAGTGCCCTTACGCATGCGAAAGTTTCGTAGCCACTGGGAATCGTCCCAGACCTGCAACACTATGCGGTCCCACCAGTCTGTGCTTGTTTCCCGAGCCCAGAATCGGCGTTCCACAGCATGAACCTGCCCCATTAGCACCATGATGCATGCATTGTCAGGGCCCATGCTTTCAGAGAAATCTGTGTCCATGTCCTGATCACTCACGGGACCGCGCTGACGTCGCCTCCTCGCCCGGTATCGCGTTGCCATGTTCTGGTGCTGCATATACTGCTGAATAATGCGTGTGGTGGTTAATGTGCTCCTAATTGCCAAAGTGAGCTGAGCGGGCTCCATGCTTGCCGTGGTATGGCGTCCGCACAGAAAAAAGGTGCGGAACGATTGTCTGCCGTTGCTCTGACGGAGGGAGGGGCGACTGACGACACGGCTTACAGGGTTGGCTTCAGGGAGCTAAAATCAACAAAGGGGATGCCTGTACATCAAGGAGTATTTCAGGCAGGACTGCACGGAGGGTTCCAATAAGAAATGGTGCACCTAAGTTATCGTTGTTATTGGAACAAGGAGGTTAGCCTGGCCTCTGATTGATACATGGCTAGATTTACCTCGCTGCACCTTCTCTGTGAGTGACTGCAGTGTGACCTAGAGGAATGAGTCCCCTAGACAGGGGAGGAGGCAAATGAGTACAAAACAAATCTGGTCTATTTCTTGTTTTGACCCACTCCATCTATCTTTTACATCTTTGGCTGGCAGCAGACGGTGCAGAAGGACTGCATGCCATCCACATCTCATGGCTGCTCGGCAGAAGATGGTACAGTACGACTGCTAGCAGTCCGTATCGCCTGCCCGCTCACCATAAGACGGTTCAATAGGACTGACTGCAGGACTAAAGAGAATGACCTGGTCAAGTCACTCCAAATTTAGTCCCTGTGCCCATGTCTGCCCAGGCGCTCCTGATCGACCTCACAGAGGCGACCAGGAGCACCTCAGACATGACGATGACGGCTACCAGTCGTACTGTACCGTCTGCTGCCACAAGGCAAGGGGTTGCTGCTACTGTGTAGCAATGCCGTACCGCGTCTGCCAGCACCCAGGAGACATAGGGTGACGGTTACCTGAGCGGGCTCCATGCTTGCCATGGTATGGCGTCTGCACAGGTAACTCAGGAAAAAAGGCACGAAATGATTGTCTGCCCTTGCTTTCACGGGGGGAGGGAGGGAACGGGGGGCTGACGATATGTACCCAGAACCACCCGCGACAATGTTTTAGCCCCATCAGGCATTGGGATCTCAACCCAGAATTCCAATGGGCAGCGGAGACTGCGGGAACTGTGGGATAGCTACCCACAGTGCAACGCTCCGGAAGTCGACGCTTGCCTCGGTACTGTGGAAGCGCTCCGCCGAGTTAATGCACTTAATGCACTTAGAGCATTTTCTGTGGGGACACACACACTCGAATTTATAAAACCGATTTCTAAAAAACCGACTTCTATAAATTCAACCTTATTCCGTAGTGTAGACATACCCTTAGACTTTCCTAGTACAATCGTAGCCACAAAGTTGGGTAGTCCCAATACTATCCAGCTAACCAACAACTGAGATTCTGCTATTTCAGAACCTCCCTTTATGTCCCCTTTCCTGTTCACATACCAGTAAGCCATGGCAACAGAAAACCTACATGTCTTAGCCTATGTCCTCTTGTCATGCTAACTCAGAAATTGCTGCAAGTGAAAAGTGCAAGTGAAGCACTAACTATACACTTCCAGGTAGCAATAATTCAACACAGGTGGGACCAGAAATTACTGAGCCTGAATAAGGATGTCATACCTTAGGTCCTGAGCCAAATGCCATTCAAGCAGCTTCCTATCTTTGAGGTGGCCCCATAGATTTCCAGCAAGTGGCTTAGAAGCCTGCTTTCAGCTACACCTCTGTGAAGGGGGATTATTCCATTTACCCGGCATTTAAGAACTGAGAATCTGGCTAAGGTCTTCTCCCTGCTCCACTAGTGTAAGTCCAGAGGTCAACATGGCAAATGACATTTTTAACATTCCTCCCCCACCCCTTTTGGATGCAGAATACTTGGAACCTTCTGTAGCATCTTATACAGCTTTAATTTCTGCATGTCCTCCTCTCTTGGTACCATCTAGTTCTGATGAGTTTATTCCTATCAATAGCATCTGAAATCCAGTCACCCCTTTATGAGTGTGATAAGAAGAACATGACCAGACCAGGGTCTTAATATAATCAAAACTTTGTTTCATCACACTGATGCATTATTGCACCAGAACATTATTTTCAACAGTAGAGAATTAAAATTCCACAGTATTCCATTCAAGTAAACACAGAATTAAAAACAAACTTGCAAATAGTGTATGTGGAAAGTATTTATATTACAGTAGTGCTATGTGCTTAGGGCACTAACTTAGGATACAGGTGACCATGAGGCAATTCCCTGCTCTGCCACAAACTTCCTGTACAACCTTGGGTAAGTCACTTAGCTCCCACCTCAGTGCCCCATGTATCGTACTGGGATAGTAATAGCTCCCTACCGCACAGGTAAAGATATATCTATTCGAGAGTGTGAAGTGCTTTAAGATCTACTGATGCAAAAAGATGCAAAAAAGAGCTGCATATTATTATTTGAAGTCCCAATAATTAGTCCTCTTTAATGTATTACTAGTCTAGCACTAACAGTGTGCTAGACACTTACAGAGAGGTATAAAGACAAAGTTCTATGCACGAACAAATTTACAATCTAAATAAAATGTTACCGTTTAGATAGACAATCTTGAGCTAGTCCTTTGGCAGAGGCTGTGGGCAAACAAAAATATCTTACGCCAAGTGAAGCACTAATGACCAAAAAGGATTTTGCTATTCCAGAACAAGAATAGTGTGTGACATTGTGCAATTTAAGGAAGCTAAACTCGGCTGTTCCTCCATTATTGGAGGGACTAATTCCTAAACAGCCCTTCTAGTGAGGCAAGCTTAGTTAGTAGCCGCTGAGAAAGCGAAAAGTGGGACTCAGGTGAGTTAATGCTTTTAGAGATGGTATACGAGCAGGTAGTATAGGAACCCGAGGAGACATTTATGGCCCGCGACCAAGGAACTGAGTGTAAGCAGAATCTGAGAGCCTCACTGAAGGTGTGAGTGTTCGTAAAGAGAATGACAATTTTTACAGCTGTGAGTGTCTGTGGTTATGTACATGTTGGCTCCTCTCCAGCTGGGCAGAAAACATTTGCAGTGATATCTGGGCACTGCATTGCCCATCTGAACACTGCCATATATCAGCTAAACACAACGGTTACAAGGTTGCAAAAGACTTGTTTTCCCAAGTGTGCCCCTAAGATTTATATATTGTCACCTACGCTGTTTACTGGTTTTGAAAAGCTGTGTAATTCGAGCCCAAGGAGAAGTAAGATGATTACAACATCCCTGCATTCAGCAGTGTTTGGTGGTTTGCTGTATCTTTGTTCTTGATCTCTGGGAGCTCAGGTTTGTTTAAAAAGCGCGAGGGGGGCGGGGGGGGGAAAGGGGGGTTTAAAAGGGTGAGTTTTCCACATGGAGGTGAGGTAAGTTTATTAAAGCAGGGGCACATGTAAAAAAAGAAAACCCACAAAATCAGATATAGTATGTGCCTATGATTTCTATGAGCCAAAAGCCAGAATCTCTGACTCAGGAGACTCTCCACTTCTGACAGATCTCCTGCTGCTCTTTACTGGCAAGAACAAACCTTTTAATTACTGCTGTTTGTACAGCACACCAGACACTTTTATGTACCACCATAAGTAGTTCCGGCTGCATTGTGCAAACACTGCTGTGCCCTTTCCACACACAGTAATATGATGATTCGTATTCCCGATTTGCAAAAGTGCTGCTGAGGACATGAAGCAGCAACTACAGACAATTTCCCAAGGTCTGGTTAATGTTTCAGCCCCTAACCATCACGGGCACGTACTTTGATCTTACACACAGCACATTATTGGTTATAGGTTTGTTTCCACCACTTTAGGGAAACCAGAGACGAGGGATCTCATCCAAAAGTGCTGATCTCTGCCAGCTTTGTCCTTCATGGATAACCAAAAACATTGCAATGTTGTCAAACACAGACATAACTTTGATTTCTATATACGCACTTTGGTATCTTTACACAGGAGAGGCGAGTGAGTCACAGCTGCAAATTTGGAATATAGTTTCATGTCAGCATATGACAATGCAAAGGTCTTGTTTCTTTTGTAGTGAAAAGCTCTATCCCAGACTTGTTTTAGATATTAAGTTTTTAATTATTGTGGGATAGCACAGACGGTAGTAATGTACATCAGACATAGATTAATGATTAACAGGGAAATAAAAAAATCCAGAAGAACAAAGAAAAGCCTGTACTCCGTTTAGTGGCTGCTTCTATGTATAATGAATGGTGTCTACATTTCTGCATAGTCCAGGCAGGTAACAAATAATTAGCTAATGAAGGATCCATAGGACCAACCAACAATGTGTCCCTCAGGCACAAAAGGGCTGGGAAGAGGCATTATGACTAAACGAATAAGAATGTATTCTGGTTAGCATTAGTCCTCTAACAAGATTCATAGGATGGTTAAAATGCAAATTTAAAAAAATGAACAGTCCTGTGTCATGCACATGGGTTTGTACACCAAATAACTTATTTTTTTCTCTAGTTTTAGTGCTAATTGGAGCTGTCCTTGAGATGGAGAGTAACTACAGTTTTGACTACAGCAGTGGTCACATTGACCATCATAACCCCAACCCCACCCGCCACATTTTTAACAGTCTTACTTTTAAAACGCTGGGGAAGGCAAAATCTCATAACTCTCAGGGGAACTAAAGCCCTCAAAGCTCTCTGACCTGGGTCTGTGCTGTTAGGGTGTTGTTGCTGAGCTGCTGCCCTCTTTCAATCTTCCATGCAGCCTTGGCAGCTCTCAAGGTTCTCAGTGAAATTGTTTCGTCTGTTACCATCACATCCACCCACCCAACAGCAAAAATCCCCAAATGTCAAAAGTCATGGGGATTTAAACACAAACATGAAACCGGCAGTGCCTGTGACTCCCAGGACAAAAATGCAGCCAAAGGGCCAAAATGCGCAAGCCTTACTCTGGGAGGAATCCCACTGCAGTCAACTGAATTACTCCTGTCGGTGCTCACCAACTTGAGTAATGGTTGCACAATTAGACTGTGTATCATTATGGTCATCAGCATTAAGAAAAATAACAGAAACAATGGGAATTCAGTCACAATATTATTATCTTTGCTATAATGTGAAAATCCAAACCATTTAGCTGCAAGCTATTAGTATGTGGTTTCAAGAATTGATATTACCTACTTACTTTTGCACTAGAAGATTTTTGTCATGTTTGATATGTATACATCTGGTTAAATGTATAGTAATTCAGATCAGTAGTATGGTAGTGAGACGCTAAATGATCAAGGTCAGGTTATGATGGTAGCATAATAGCTCCTTTTTTACATGTACGTTTTTTTTCATGTAACTTCTAAGTGTTGCCTGACTTTGACATTTCTTAAGGATGTAAATTTAAATGAGTGGTACAGGTGACTAAGCAGTTTTTCTTGGGTAGATTATTTAATTTGTTTACATTTTAATTTTTTAATAAAACTGCCTAAAAATGCAGCTCCCCATCACACACACACATTGTAGCGTTAGCCCTTTCGGCCTGGGCAGTTAGCCAATCTTGCTAGTTGCTACCCGTAGAAGGCGAAATTGATGATGGAGTCAGGTATCTTTGATGCAGTCCTGTTTACAAAGACTGCGAAGTCCTGTTTCCCTGAACTCAGGAGGGATCCAACAAACGGGAGCTAGTTTCTTTACTCAGAGCTCCGATGTCCTTACAGCCAGCACTCAGCTCAAAAGAGCTATCTCTAGGCTTTTTTCAGGGACACACACTCCGTGCTTGTTCATGCTGTGTTTGGCTTTCAGGTCCTTCATGGTGTCTATTTCTGGGATATTCTGTCTGCTTCTCTCGCAGGTGCACAAGTGCGTGCGCACACACATGTCCCTCTACTGGAAGAACTATCCAGCCAATCCCCTCTCCCATAGAGTTCAGATTCTTGAGCAGTCTCACATATGCCTTTTTTGTGTGGTGACATGCCTAAGTTCAGAGTGGAGGCCACTATTGCTTCATAAAGGAGCTTAACTATTTCTTACAGCTATCTTAAATGAAGGGCGGCAGTTACACCCATCAGCTTCAATGACATTTCTCCCAACCCACAACAGCTTTTATTGATGCAGTAATTACTGGCTGTAGTTTAAAGGACTGAAACCCACAAGGTAAGTCCCCCAGGTTAATTTTTATCATTAAGTATGCCTGTTAAAATGTTTATTTTCCATGTGGATGAGATACAACAGGGCCTTCCCTAGCAATTGCAAAAACTAAGCAATGCACCAAAGACTAAATTTCTGATGGTGCTCTGGTATGGAAATGACTATGTTTGATTCCCAGGCTGCACCTACGCTAGGGGGCTATGCCAAAAAAGTTCAAGGATAGACTTAGGCCTGGTCTACTCTTAAAAGGTAGGTTAAAAAATTCATAGCCCTGAGCACCATAGTTAAGCTGACCTAACCTCCAATGTAAACATGACTAAATAGATGGAAGACTTCTTCCATTGACAAAGCTACCACCTCTGAGGGAGGTGGATTCCCCTACGTTTACAGAAAAAACCCTTCCGTTGCTGTAGGAAAAATCTGCACTACAGCACCATACCTGTAGCTGTATCGCTGTAGCAACCAATACCATAGTGTAGGCAGGCCACTCATCTGGTATTAAACTGGACAGTCCTGCTTTTCAAGGATTTACTGAGACAGAATTGGACAGGGTTTCGTCCAGTATTGGACAGGGGAGACCATTTTGAAGCGTGTGTTTCCAGTTGCTCAGCAGGCATCCCCAGTGTCATCCAATCACAGCAGGCAATAGCCTTGACTTGGCACAGAAATTGGCCAAGGAGGATGCTCGAGGTTGCCAAAGAAGAAGGCATCTGGCCCAAAGCAATCTTTTTCAAAAAGCTGAGTGGAGAAGGAACACTGACCAATGGAAATAGGAAGGGGGCAGTGCTTTGGGGGAGCCTGGTCAACGGGTGTAAGGCATGGCGGAACTGAGGAGTAGGCCTAATAAGCTGTTTTGGGGGCAGTACCTGATAGCAGCACTGGCCAATGGGCAACAGGTATGCAGTGTAGGGGAACCATTGGCTGGAGGCGGAAGACAACATAGCTCAGGAATACAGATGAGGGTAAGGGGATGGTCTCTTAAAAATGGCATCACCCATGTGGCATGATCTCAAACATACCATGTGTGTGAGGTCATACTGGTGTGGGGGCGTTCCCACGTTGTTCCCAGAAATACTGGAACGTCCGGTATTCTGGGAATGTCCATGAGTAGCATGGACATTACCTCAGGCCAGGTCTATGTTACCTGAAATTGGGCCAGCTAGTAAGCTTAGGGAGGACTAATGACCCACCAGAGTCTGGCAGAAAGCAGCACATTTATTATACTGATAGCTAAGCTCAAGAGAAGCGGGGGTAGGGGGGGGTGTCACACTCATACTCGCATTCTCACGCTCCCAGGACAGGCACGGCACTGGAGATGTCAGGATTCTTCAAGGTAAGTGTTCCACAGTGCAGCAATGGACGGTGTGATGAAGGTAAGTCTTCCCGAGGCACGATGAAATGCAACGTGGCGAACAACTGGCCAGGCAGTTAGGGCAAAGGGCCTTCACAGGAGGTACAATCTTGTGAGTGCACTCCTGACCACATAGCCCCTTCCCCTTTTAAGGACCTTCTCATGGCCGCATCTGGTTGGTCACACTCCACTTCGAGCATTGTCTGTGCAGTGTCCATGCATTGGGAGTGTGATTGCTGCCTAATCAGAGTGCCAGACACCTTATCTACCTGGGAGTTCTTCTGATCTTCCAGCTGCTCGAGTAGCCCATTCATCCCACAAGTATTCCAGGAGGGACGAGATGGGGGAAAGTCACTTCACAGGTATTCAAAGACGGAGAGGAGACAAAAAATGGCGGGGGAGGTATAAGAGACCTTTTGAACCTACAGGTTATATAAAGCATACAGATCACGGCTGCTCCTACAACACTCTACACTAACAAGTTAGATTGACCAAGCTATATCACTCAGGGATGTGAAAAATCCACTCCCTTGTGGTTTACACAGCACTAGTTTGACAGAAGAATTCTTCTGTCCATCTACATTAATCTTCTTCTTAGTGTATGCACAAAGTGCCTCAGGTGGCACGTGACCAGGATTCATCACCAAATTTGGTCCCCTGGTTGGATCATTAGCTTCCCCGGCCCGGGCGTGCGACATGAACACTAACTATGGTGCCAGGAAAACCCCTCCTGTTGCGGCAGTGTGTATCTACATTGAAGCACTACAGTGCTGCTTCTGAGCCACTGTAGCTGTCATAGGCGCTGACTCTATTGGTGCTCTGGAGCTCACACACCCACCAAAACAAAATAGTGGGTGCTCAGCAACACCCGCAGGGCTGGATTAAACTTTTGTAGGCCCTGCCGCCCGGACTGTGGCCCCGCCCCACTCGGCCTCTTCCCCTGAAGGCCTGCCCGCCGCTCCACCCTGAGGCCCTCCCGCATTTGGCCTCTTCCCCCCCAAGGTCCCAACTGCCGCTTGCCCAGGAGCAGAGAGGCGCACCCAGCGGTTAAAAACAAAAGTCAGCACCTGTGGTAGCGGTTTATGTGTAGTCTCATTTCCCAGGCCAGCAGGAAGGGCTACAGAAGTAATTAGTCCCTGGGTGATGAGAGTGCCTCCAACTGCTCTTCAGCAACCCCACTGACCATTGAAGAAGCAGTGCGAATGAGCTTTGGAAGGAAGCTCTTACAGTCTTGGTCAGCTCAATGAGCGTGGTGGGGTGTAGTGCTGGGAATAAAAGGAGATTCTCAAGGGAAGTGAGAGAGATGCTGAGCTCTGCTCCTCAGGAATTTAAACATGAATAGTCTGAGTTACCCTTGTGTTGTTTTGTGCCCCAAGAAAATCTCTCATGGAATCACCAAGAAAGCCTGACGAACGTCAACGTGCCAGTTGAAAATCCCTTGTTACCAGAGCCATCTTTTTGTCCCTGTAGAGAATCTTAGCTTTCATTTAAATAAATGAAGAAGTTTCTAGCCCTTTTCATGCTAAAGCTAGCTTTGAAAATTGATGCAAAATGATTGCAAAGACTAAAAGGAATATTCAGCAAGATGGGCCAAAATGCCCCCCTCTCCACTTCCATAGATACTATTTATTTAAATTAGTGAGTTACTGGTTGTGGAGCAGCCAAAAGAAGCATCTCGCTAATCCTTCCCTTCGGCTGGCTCTGTGCATCCATGGTATGATAACCGGAAAGAGGAAACTATTACAAAAGGGGGTGGCAGTACTGCTCTGTTTTGCAGCCCACCCAAAAGCGGGCCGACTTTGCTTGTTAACATTTGCAGCCTTCTCTGAGTGCAGTGACTCTGGCAGCTGCTGCAAGAGGAACTCTCTTCTCGTCTTCCCTCACCAGAGCCTCTAGGCACGTGCACTGATGTAAACACGGCCAGGAATGAGAACAAACCAAGGGACGGATTTGAAGTGGCAGGCCGCAACTTTACCAAACTTAACACAGGGAGGGGGCTACCTGCCCTGTCACCCATGCCTATTAGGCATTTTAAGTGGTTCCAGTGTGGGGATTCCAGGGCTTCTACCATATAACCCATAATCTGAGGTAGACTCACGTCAGCCTACTCACGTCAGCCTACTCCGAGGATTCAGCTCACTCTTTTGAGTCCTGCCACCCCATGCGGGGTTCAGGGGGTACTAAAAGCAGGGCCTGC